AACTTACCCAACTAAAAAAGTACCTTTCCCTGGTTCCTTACAGCAAGATGCAGCCATACAACTAATTATGTGTTGTGTGGGACTTCCGGGCAGGCCCCTTGCAGGGAGCTAAACTGGCTTCTTTTGATGCTTGGAAGATGGATACAGTGGCTAGAACTCCAGCAGTCAAGACCCTGAGTACAGAAGTCATACACTGAGGACAGCAGACAGACAGAAGCCAGGTCCCTCATGATGTCAGGAGTGCTGGGCCAGCCCTGGACAGTCTTCACCTCTAGCTTTCCTTGATGTGAAAGAAAAACTATTTATGCCACTGTTTCTTTGGGGTTTGTGTGATACGCACTTGGATACAACCTTAACTAATTCAGAAAAGGGTTAGAAGACAAAATTAAGGAAATCTCTAAGAAAACAGACCAAGAAAGTCAATTGGAAAATAAATGGTAAAAATCGTAGAGGATAAGTCCAGGAAAATAAAGAAATGGTAAACATCATAGAGGGTTCCAACATCATAACAGAGATTCCTGGAAAAGAAAACAGAAAACAGAGGGAAAGAAATTATCAAAGAAATAATACAAGTAAATTTCCTAAAACTGAAAGACTAATCTCACAGTTAAAAGTGACCACCAAGTACCCAGCTCAGCACTGGGAAGTAAAACAACACATATCCCAAAGCCCACCAGTGTGAAACTGAACATTAGGGAGAAAAAAGAAATATTACAACTTCCAGAGGGGGAAAAAAAAACCCCAAAAAACAAAAAACAAGTTATGTAATAAAGGATAGGGAATTAGAATGCTAGCAGACTATTTATGTCAGAAGATAATGACAAACGCATTAAAAAATGATCCTTGATGGCCGGGCGCGGTGGCTCAAGCCTGTAATCCCAGCACTTTGGGAGGCCGAGACGGGTGGATCACGAGGTCAGGAGATCGAGACCATCCTGGCTAACACAGTGAAACCCCGTCTCTACTAAAAAATACAAAAAACTAGCCGGGCGAGGTGGCGGGCGCCTGTAGTCCCAGCTACTCGGGAGGCTGAGGTAGGAGAATGGTGTGAACTCGGGAGGCGGAGCTTGCAGTGAGCCGAGATCTGGCCACTGCACTCCAGCCTGGGTGACAGAGCAAGAAAAAAAAAAAAAAAAATGATCCTTGAAAACCATTTCTAGGCCAGGGTGTGGTAGCTCATACCTGTAATCCCAGCACTTTGGAAGGCTGAGGTGGGCGGATCACTCGAGACCAGGAGTTCAAGACCAGCCTGGCCAACACTGAAAAATCCCATCTCTCTTAAAAATACAAAAATTAGCCAGGCCTGGTGGCACACGCCTGTAATCCCAGCTACTTGCAAGGGTGAGGCATGAGAATTGCTTGAACCTGGGAGGCGGAGGTTGCAGTAAGCCAAGATTGCACCACTGCACTCCAGCCTGGGCAACAGAGCGAGACTCCATTTCAAAACAAACAAAGTCCCTGTATAAAAAAAAAAAGTCATCATTTTCTAGGGAGAATGATGTATGATCTAGATTCTTTACCTAGACTACCAACACCAATCGGTCAAGTATAAGGATATAATAAAAATAATGACATTTCAAAGAAGCAAGGTCATTTATGTACCGTGCATCTTTTCTTAGAAGGTATTAGAGATGTGTTCCCACAAAATGAAGGGGTTACACCAATAGAGAGAAATGTAAGAGCTAGAAAAGTGTACATTCAATATAGGGGAGGCTCAGGATGACAACTGTAGGACAAGCCTAGAGAAGAACACGTTCGGGTTGGGTGTGGTGGCTCACACCTGTAATCCCAGTACTCGGAGGCCAAGGTGGGCAGATCACCTGAGGTAAGGAGTTCAAGACCAGCCTGGCCAACATGGTGAAACCCTGTCTCTATAAAAAGACAAAAATTAGCCAGGCAGGATGGCGGGTGCCTGTAATCCCAGCTACTTGGGAGGCTGAGGCAGGAGAATGTGCTTGAACCCGGGAGGTGGAGGTTGCAGTGAGCTGAGATCGTGCCACTGCACTCTAGCCTGGGCGACAGAACAAGACTCTGGCTCAAAAAAAAAAAAAAGAATAACACGTTCAAACTGGAGCAGAACAGAGGCAGCCAGGAGGAAGATCTCCAGAAGAAAGGAGAAATGGATAAATTATCTAATAGTTCTGAATATTTGGGGAAAAAAATTTAATTTTGTATGGTGGTTTTGATGGAGCA